ATCCTGGAGCTCTCTGAATGCAGAGAGAACCTGTAATCCCCTGGCAGAGGTAGTTGGAGTTGAGGAAGCACTCACAATTTAGACTTCCTCCAGCAGAGGTGGCTAGACAAGGAGATGGTTGAATTCTGCATACAGGTGTACTTTATAAGTTTGACCTCTTTGGGTCAGAATGGAAATTGGAGGACATTTGCTTTTTAATCACTTCCTCACGTTGGCAGTTTCTAAAATTTTAAACACCAGATACAAAAGACTATTTCCAGAGTTTCAGCAATGATTACCATGAATTTATGAATGATAATCAACATGTCACTGATTGATATTTATTAATATAAAGTGTCTCCTATATATAACTATTCTGCTTCAGTCTCTTATACAACCACTTACCCTTCCCATTTTAACTTCTGCTCTCCCTATCTCATGTTCTTTTTTCCATTTTTCCCTTTTTTTCTATTTTCTTTATTTTTATCCTACTTTTAAATTCAATTTAAAGTATGATTATTAATATATAACACTTTCTTTCTATTGTATGTGACTCCTCAACCTTGTTCCTGTATTCATAGAGTTGTAAAGAACATTAGTATTTGCATTTATAGTATATGCTGATACATGGTTTAATTTTAAAGGGCCACCGTTATGACTGTCTATCCTTTCAAAGAGTGATTGGGGGCTGAAATTAACTTGGATTACACTGAGTCTGTGTGTTTAAGCTAAGATATACAACCAACACAAAACCTAGAGATAATTACTGACCTAAGGTTTCCCACATTAAAGAGGAAAAGGACATCATCTCAACAGATGTTGAAATGTTCAAATCTATGACCTTTGAAAACATAAGAAGCAAGCAAACAAGTTTCCCCCAAACTTGAAACCCCCAATAAAGCACCATTCTGACATTGAAGGGAATGGAATTCCAGAGGAAGACTACAAAAAGTTGATTATTAAAGTAATTAATGAGCTGCAAGTTCTAACGAATCAATTAAATCAAGAAAACACAGAGTTCTGTGAAAGACCACTTCAATATGGAGACAGAGTTTTGGAAAAGTAGCCAATCTGAACTCCTGGAAATTGACGGTACAATAAATCAGATAAAAAATTCAGCTTAAAGTACACCCAATCAAGTAAATAACATAGAAAACGAAGCATAAGTCTCAAATACACGGTATATAAACTTGAATACACAGTGAGCAGTAAAGAAAAATAAAGGGCCATGATCAGATTATAGAAGAACTCTGACAATATTAAGAGACAAAATTTAAGTCATTGAAATTGAATAGGGCATGGATATATAAGGTAATGGCATTAATAACCTATTCAGAGAGATAATAGCAAAAAATTTCCAATACTTAGAAATAAGATTGACAGCCACATGTAGGCTGCTATAGAAACCCAACTAGACAAGATCAAAAGAAAACCTCAAAATTAAAATGTCTAACATATATATATATAAAGGGTAGAATATTAAAAGCCTCAAGAGAAAATATCAAGTCACATTTAGAGGTAAACCAATAAAGGTTACTTCTAATGTGTCATCTCAGACTCTAAAATCCAGGAAGGTTTTGAATGAGATAATATAACTGCTAACCGAGATTGCTATATCCAGAAAAACTATCATTCAGGATCAAAAAAGAAAGAAAAACTTTCCAAGACATGCATAAATTAGAACTCAGGACCACTAAGCCAACACTATAGAAAATACTTAAAGAAATATAAAACACAGAATAGCTCCCAAAGCAAACTTCAGTTCCCAAATGGATGCAGCTCACTAAAATATCATTTAAGCAAATGAGAATTAAGACCAAATTAAATTTACAAAACAAATCCAAATAGCTGAAAATAATGACCTCTTCATAATAACTGGATATAAATGGTTTCAACTCTCCAGTTAAAAACATAGCCTGCCAGAATGGATTTTTTTTTTGAGAGAGAGAGAGAGAGAG